CCTAATGAAGAACCATCAATTTCATCCATGAGAGCCTCAATTTTTCCCTGCCTCTATGTAGCTCCCCCAGTTCCCCGTGGGCACAACCAAAACATATACATATCGAATACTTTGTTCTTAAATTTTTATGATTCAATACTTTGTTCTTAAATTTTGATGATTCATACTTGACTCGAGAAAATACAGATTTACGTTTTTAAAAAAACTCTTTTTTTAATATTTTGCTCATCACAAGAAAATACATCTTTACGTTTCAAGAATTTATAGTGTATTTGATACAAATAATCAATTCAAGTAATCGAAAGGAAAAAATATAATCAATATTCAATATTAATAATCAATCAAATAAACACAATTCTTTGAATATAAGTAAAATTGAACATAATTATTTCAGACACGTTCTATATACACAATTTGATAAGAGAAAATGCAAACTCAAGTTTTAATTAGTTGAAAATTTGATTGGGAAGTGAAGAATTATAGTATATGTGATAATTTGTAGAGAAATTATAGACAAATTTTTAAAAATTAGAAGGATTAAGATTTTGGTAAAAAGCGTGACAAAGAGAGTCGCGAGAGAATAAGAGAAGATAGAAAAAAATTCAAATTTATTGTGATTTTGCTCATGTTTGGTGGGGATTAAAATTAGATTTTGATAAAAGTTGAAAAGTTATAAATCCTATGAAATTTGCTATCAAAATTAATTGTTATTTCTGATTTAGATTAAAATTTAGATTTGAATCCATACCAAATGGGAATATATATATATATATATAACCCAAAATTTGGGAGGTCACGTGACCCCCAAGGACTCCTCTATGTCCACCCCTGCGTAAGCTAATATATTTGTAATACTTTCCTCTAACCTTTTGTATATTTGTTTATGTGGCAATTACATTATCCATGTTTTTGAACTTCCAATTTCAAAAATCAAGTTTAAGAATTTTTTATAAAAAAATCAGGTCATAATTTATTCTTTAATATTAATAATATTTTACTAAATTAATTAACCTACCACATCCAATCCACTCAACCCATCACACCATCTCTTCATGTTGCTACTTCATTTCACACTCGGAATCTTCTTCCTTAGCACCTTCGCCAACGATAAGCACATCGGCAGTGCCATGCAAATGGTGACATGCATAGCTTTGTCGCCCAGTGCCACTACTTTGTGCGAAGCGACGATCTATTTTTTTTTGTCCCCCATTGTCGCTGCGCCGTGTTGTGCAGGTCACTATGCATGAAGCAACAAATCCACCATTTTCTTCACCTCTACCACACCACAACCATCAACACCACACTAAATAGATTAAGAGAAAACATAGGAAATGGAGGCAAAGAAAATAAATCATCGCTACGTACGCAGCAGCGATGATCGACACCCATCATCGTTGCTTCATGCGTAGCGATGATTTATTTTCTTTGACTCCATTTCCTATATTTTCTCTTAATCTATTTAGTGTGATGTTGATGGTTGTGGTATTGTAGAGGTGAAGAAAATGGTGGATTTGATGATGTGGTGATGGTGATTGTGGATATAGGCTGTGGTAACGGTCTGATGGTGGTGGCGACTATGAGTTCGGGGATTTTTTTGGTGGGGATAGTGGTTATGGTGTGGTAAATATGGTGAGGTGGTTGAGTGTGGTGCTAGCGATGTGGTTTTGGCGATGGTAGTGCTGGTGACGGTGGTAGTAATAGTTCTGGTAGTGGTAGTGTGATTGTGATTAATAAACTGATTAATTTGTAACTAATAAATAATATGTTATAGATAAAATAGATCATTTGTGACCGTTGTGACCTAAAAAATGTGAGACTACGACTTAATTTGCAATTGTGAGTCACACTTTGTTAATTACTTTGATAATTTGTGACCTGAAATAAATTGTGACATATAAAATTTATGATTTGTGAATTATTAATTTGATAATTTCTTATCGATAAATAAATTGTGACTTATAAATTTGTGATGGAGAAAAACGCGTGTCCAATTAATTTTATAATTTATGACTGATAAATAAGTTGTGGTTTATAAAATTTGTTCTGACTTAAAAACACTATGTTACTTATCAATTTGAGGATTTGTTGCTGATAAATAAATTGTGACCTATAAAATTTATGATTTATGACTGAGAAAAAATGTGTGACCAATTAATTTCATAATTTGTAACTTATAAAATTTGTTATTTATGACTGTGATATTCTATGATTGTGACTAATATTTAACTGAGATCATAAACTGTAATACTGTGACCTTAATATATTTAATTAATAATATATATTTAATTAATAAATTTTAATTATGACTTGATTTTTGAAATTTTAAAACATATTTCTTAATTTTGAAAATGTATATATATTTTAAACACCTTATATTTGTATTGTTCCCTTTGTTTATCCCCGTCTGATATTCGACAATTAATTATTAGTTCAAATGACCTTTTTGACGCTGTAATTATTCTCATCAACGTAAAATACCATTTTATTCAACAGTCATGTGAATTATCATACATGTCTAAATTTAGTCGTCATTAAACAGTAAGTTCAGATTTATAACTGTTCAACACAAAATATTTAAGTAGTCATTTGATTCGTTTTTCAAGAAAACGATTCTCAATACGAATTCGTGCTCTCTAATTTATTCGTTCTCAAATTTCCAATTCACCAAATATTTAATCAATCAAATTGATATAACACATTAGTAAATTAAAGAACATTAAACTCACGCAAATATACACAATACTGTCTATAGATTTACATGAAATATTTGAAGATCAAGTGAAATTTAATTTTTCGCATGGTCATCCTATAGAATTAAGCTTGACATGTAGTATATTCAATACACTCCAAGTGCACTAGTTTCACCATTAAATTACATCTACAAGAAGAACAAATTGCAAACTCGTATAGTGAATTATCAACACTACAGCCTTTTATTAAGGTGCCAACCCACAAATATTGGTTGAGAACAATATAATTTATGATCAAAATATATGTACTATAACATTGTGCTTTTCCAACTGATATTATGGATAAAATACGAATTTATAAGTTCATGTAGAGTTTTGATCTAATGTTGAGTTAATTTATGATTTTGATATATGGCGTCAAGTTTATTTACCGTTCACGTATTAACTCTCTATTTTGATTATAAAGTGCCTTCAAGTATATAACAAGACTCGA